TCAGGATAGTGCTGTAGTAAGGCCGTCGCAAGTCGCCAAGATATAATTGATCTTGTACAACCAGTGTCAGCAACGATGAAGAAGTTGTTGTCGGCACAGAAAGTAGACCTTAAGACCATGTCAGAACCAGGAGGCAGGTGATAGTCATATTTTTGGTGTTGTAGTAAACGGGCTACGTCACTATGCTTGTACTTGCAATTATCGGCATAGCGGCACTGCCTGCGAGCTGTCCAGGCCAAGCATATCCCTTGCTCTCGACAGAGTTTGAGAGTCTCGGGGTCTTCAACCCTAGGAAGCTTGGGATTAGGAGCCTTAGTAGAAGTAGCAGTTGATACCGGAGGGGCCTTGTTTGAATTAGCATTGCTGATGTAGAGCTTTGGATTGCAGCGGATATGGCTACGTAGGGCTTGCGTAAGCTGTTGGACATCATCGATGGCCGCGTAGTTCTCGTCTGCAGTCTTCCTCAGAGTGGGATGGAGGCCTTCACGATAGTGTAGGTTGATTTGACTGGGTTGTAGATGGAGGCCAACACTCGCACACATAGCAACAGCAGATTCGATACGGTCGAGGTAATCGTAAATGTTGATGTCACCATTGTCCATCTTAACGTCAGAGAAGTATCTCATGACTTCCGCATGTGAATTTGACAGAGAGTACTTATGTTGAAGATAGCCAAGTGCTTGTGATAGTGTCAGAACATAGTCGTTCAAGTAGAGAGTCGGGTCCATAGTAGTTTCCAAGTGGATCTGTAAGTTCCTCTTGACTGACTGGCTAAGACAGTTGGATAGGTAGATATAAGATAGTCGAGGGCCCAGCGCTGTTTGCTTCACTTCACAGCGGACAAGACTTAGGAAGTAGTTGATACTCCTGTTATCAGAGTTTCCCTTGTACTGTTTGTTGTCGGGGCACTTGATATGGGAAACAGCATTGATGGCCTTCGTTGTATCAAGAGCCTTCTTCTTATCATAGTTGTGGGATAGATCACACCAATACGCCACGTTG